CAACTAGTGGATATACCCTGTGAGACTCTAGGGAGTGGCTAGCCTAAGCCTCTTCTTATTGTCACGGTCTTCTTGCGGGCTGAGAAAGTGCTTGCCTTGTACCCTCTCCTGGAATGCACTCCCTCCCTCCTGATAGCCTTGATCTTCCATTCCAGTATCCTCCTCACACATGCCTTCCATTACAGTAGAGTTGGACCTGGTTAGTACATGAATTGAAGACCTCCATGAAGTATCAATCTAGGCTATACTGGGAAATTTAAAAACATTCCAGAAGAAGGCAGTGACAAATCATGTCAGTGTTGCTTTCAGAGGAACTGCATCAATATTTCCATAAAGTACCAAACTTGACTTATAGGAGATTTCACCTAAAAGCTTCAGATTATTGCTAGGGATAGATTAAGATGGTGAGCATTTGTTTATCCAGTCACTCGGAGTAAAAGTTGACTTCATGTCACCTAAGTAAACTGTAAAGTAGATTATGCTATTTGTTTAAATATCTTTGGTTTAATGTGTGGAACAAGCATGGCTCAGTGTTTAAGAGTGCTAAACCTTCAGATTAGATAATCTAACATAGTATGCTACTTTGATTCACATTTCCTTGGATAGGTTCAAAAGCTGAATGTCAACTCAAGTTGGGGGATGTTGTCTTCCTTGGAGCAGATATGTGTAAATTCATTTTCTTTCTGCATAATGGAGTTCAGCTTGTGTTCTGTGATATTTGTGAATCAACTTGAATGCCAGCAACTTTTCACAGACTGTATTTAAAGCAGTTGCTTTTTATTGCTCCAGCTATTTCATTCTCCCCATCACTAGCACCAACCTCATGGCTTTTTTTTTTTGGCCATATTTTCATTCTTGCCTTCCAAAAGCTCTATACTTGGATTATCATATGTATTTCAATATAATTTAACTGTGATACCACAGTGTTCCTTATTTTTATTATGTTATGTCTGGAAACTCACACTAATAGTAGTAGTAACTGTAATAACAAACCTTTGTTTTAATCTTGGATTAATAAGATTAACAGCATTTCCTGACCCCAGTTAGAAACATGAGATGGTTTCTCTCTTGCCATATGGATAAGTCTGAAGACTTTGTTGATGGGTATTCATTAAGGCAAGGTCAAGATGTTGTTCAGTTTTAATATCCCTAGTGAACTTTGGACTGTCACAATAATATGTAGTCAAAAAATGTGGGATGCAAACTAAAGTGACTGATCGGCTGTAAGATAAATGGTGATTCAAATCTTAGTGCACAGATGGTTTTGATTTGCTGAGTTTTGTAGCTGTTGCAACTGAAGACATAAAATAGCAGCCTAGTCATAAATTAGCTCTTTGGAAGCCAAACCTTGGCACCAAAGCTTTACAACCTTCAATTAGTAGCAAAAGAAGTATTTGAATGACTCTAGTATTGACATCAGTAGGTCTGCATAGTAATCATTCCTAATAGAAGAGAATCTCTGTTTGAGGGGCTTTTGCATGGCTAATTAACTACCAGTGAGAATATGTAATTTTTTCATGATCTCCCGATTGTCACCTTTCTCTCATGATACAATTACATTTTATTGTAGCAAGTGCCTTTGGAAACCCAATTGTCAACACTATTTACGTTGTGCAGAAAAGCAGAACAAAAGTTCATGTTTAATAAAAAGCCACTGGATTTTGATCTTGGTAATTGCCAAGACTTTTTTTCCCAGAGTTTTATAGACTTTGGTATTTTTTCATCACTTTTCCCACAAAGCAAAAAGCCATTTCCTTGCTACTGTGGTTGTCATTTAATCTAGATTAATTGAAGCAGCTTCTTTTTGTATCTGTGGTACAATTTTCTAAAGTTAATTGAAATATGTACATTTTTAATTAAGAAATCTGCTCTTGGACAAAGTTTACTTCTTCTCCCATCCCTAAACACAGATCTAAGTTTTAGTCGCTGATTCTATTAAAGCTATAGCAATATCCTTAATATTCTTAATAATTCTGCTGTGAAAACTCCCCTTGGGGCATAAGACCATAATCCTCTGAGACAGTGTCCAAGGATTTATATAGTTCCTCATCCAGCTAAGCAGAATTCCATTCTCCGATTCAGCCTCCTGCCTTCTCATTCTCCTCCAAGTTTTACAAGTTTGGGAAATCCAAAACTTATAAAATGCCAGATCAGCACATCCAAAGAATCTGAAGCCTTACCTGCTTTCTCATGTCTCGGACTTGGGAGAAAATTTAGACCAATTTGCCCGCAATGGGAAGTATTTATTTTGAACAGAAAATATTTTAACATCATTAAGTGTTCCTCTGTCTTCATTTCCTTCTTACAGTATCAGGCCACAGCTTGAATAAATGGTTTGTCATGTGACATAGGTTACAGTTGGATATATAAGACCAAAGTCTAGAAAAACTAAGAATTAGTGGCGGATTTGGCTGGGAGTGGGGAATGGGATTCTAGCCTGTGGTTATGATCTGCAAACATCTTAGGCATGCATGAAGGATTTTTTTTTCTTTGAACAGCTTGTTTGTATGTTACAGTACACCTGCTTTTAAATTTTTATTTTGTTTCAATTGCACTTTTGCCATGCAGGATTGCAGTGGTGAGGGGAAAGGGTTGCAGGAAAACAAACGTAAACCTTCCATGATTGGAGCCTGTCCTGTTGCATTTATTTGCCTGCACTTTCTTTTCCTTAGTTTCAAAGCCAACTGTAATTTTTACTGTCAGTTTGTATTTTGCTGGTTAACATGTTTTTCAAGCACTTAACAATAGGGCATTATAGTCATTATCATGGTTGTGTGTGAGAAGAAGCACAACACATGTTCTGTGCTTGTACAAGTCCAAAGAAAGGCAGTAAAGCAAAAGGTGAGGAAGGGATGTGGAAAAGAAAATTAACAGCACCAGTTATCACAGCTGTAATACCTATATGATTTCAATATAGGAATGGGTTACAGAATTTATCTCAATATACTGTTAAGCAATGACTAATCTGAAAATGCAAAACTTACTTTTTGAGGGTTAGCTTAAATCCTGTCTCAGGTTACAGTATTTGCAAGTGCATATAGAATCCATGAACAAAAAATGTCAATTGTCACAGCTTCTGCTGCTACATCATGTGTTGCTAAAAACCAGAAGTCCATATTTTATAAAAAGCTTCAACTAATTCCAAATTTGATAGGTGGGCTCCATTCTTAGTCAGTTTTTACTAATGTAATTGCTACAGAACTATCTGTACAAATAGAGAAAAATAAATAATCTGCAATTCAGGTTTGGGATGGAAGTAGGACAAATAATCTTCCATATCACGGATTGTAGAATTGAATAAATTATATATGACTATAATTTTGTACTGGGTGTATTTTCAAGTTTTAATTCTTTAAAATTTGTAGCTAGGTATGTCATATACGGGAGCAAATAGAATATTATCCATTTGTCCTGTCCACAACATGTTCCAAATATGGAGTCAACAGAAGCACGGGGATTTGATAATATTGGCAAGAGCTTATAAAAAGTCATTATACCTTTAGTTGTTAAATATATCTGGTGTTAATTATCATAATACAGTAAATCCTTGATTTAACAAATTAAGACAAGAAGGGGTGTCTCTTAAAGCTGAATGTTCGTTAAATGATAAATGGGATTTTTTTTAGTTTAGAAACACTTATGTGAAAGAAAAATATGTTTACTGATAGCAGTGAATTACTGTCTCAGCTGATTCAGTTTGGGCAAAACTCAGATCCAAGATATTCACTAAACAGCTCCATTAAAATGAGGGTTTATTATATCAGTGTGCTGATAAATATAGGGATTGATACCTACTTAGATGATTTTAAGATCTCTGGGTTTGGAGTGCCTTTCTGAGATAGAAGACTGGCATCAAAAAGAACACAGAATAATTGCCCAATTAAAACCCTCCTATTTCCCTGGTATTTGGAACATTTATTTTTTTAATTGTAAAAACAGATTTAAAGGACTGGACATGAGAAATCCTTGCTCATTCTCTGTAAATAATCCAATAATTCACAACCAGATCACAACTTCTGCTGCCTCCTGGTAGAATGGGTAGAATACTGGAGTTGGAGATCCACATTCAAGTGTGTGCTTCAAGCAGTGCATTTTATTTGATGGTCTTAGTGCATTGCCACCCCCTGTCCATACTACTTTATAACTCTCACTGCATCTAAACATTGGTATAATCTGCTAATCTTTCCCATTCCTTTTGGTCTTACTGCTCTTTCCCTAGGCTGCAGAGCACAAATGTGTTTTGCAGCTGTTCAGATTTCAATCTAAACAGCCTCCTGATGTATGTAAACCAATAGCTTTAATGTAATATGGAATTTTAAGGGAAGAGGTATAAGGAAACTGAGTGACAGAGACCTTGCCTATCAACATGTTATAGATAAAACTAGGTTACTCTATTTAAGAGCTTAGGAATATCTTAAAAAGTTAATATTTTCTCATTGAGGCACTGAAATTAAAAAAAAATATATAGCTTCAATATGTTAGTTATTGACAAGCTTGGTTTTACCTCCAGTAAAGGTTAATAACAGTCATCTCGACTTCTGTAAAAAGAGTATTGAAACCATTTTTAAAAAGTAATGCTGTCTTAGGAAAGCAAATTGCAATAACTTTAAATAGCTACTAATTTCATAAAAATTTGTCTGCTCCTTGCATGGGTGCATTAATGTTAGTATTGTGGGCTATCTATTTCATGTTAGGACTCACTCGAGCTCTTTTAACATAAAACTAATTCAGTAGAAGGCTGCAGTATCCACATTTCATGGATTGCACTTAGGATCGGTTAATTTGTACATTTAATAGGCTCATTTGCTGATGCCAACACAGAAGCAAGTTAAAGGAAAGGAAAGCAAACTAGAGAACAAGGAGGTTCTTTCTTTCGTAGAGAAGCCACTGTGCAAATAAAAAGTAGCCAAGTACAAGATAAGCCAGTGCTGGTTAGGTTGAATAAGCTTCCTCAAGATTCAGTAGTGAGTTTGTTATGTTGCATTAAATTGTCCCTGCTTGATGAAACCTTGTTCTTCTAATTTTACTTTTTGTTCTAGAAGAACATGAAGTACAGATGAGAAATGGAAGTCAAGCAAAATTAACTTGTCTTGAAATATATGACTTTCATGAATATGAAAATGTTGGTAGAAATTACTATCAAACAAATAATATGCCCTGATGCCTCAAATAAATGTTGCCATGAATCATTTTCAGGACCTAATATTCCATTAAAAACAAATATTCTGTTACATTATTACAACTAGTATGGTTCCTAAATTTAACAGCTTCCAGATTTACTGTCTTCTAAAATTTAGAAATGTTATTATGTATTTAGTACTCATTGCAAGATTAAGCTAACTGAGCCTAATTTCCTGTTGCCCATATCTTATATTAAAATCTTTACTAATGTAAATATTCAGTATTTCAGTGACTCATAATGCTACAAACAAATGGGTACTTAAGGGTAAGGATATTTAAGTACAATGGGTACTTAAGTATTTATGCAATGCTTCAGTTAGGTTCAGAAACCACACATTCGGAAAATCATAATTTTCAGTGATTTTATAAACTAAGAATGATCAGCAAGAAATAAATGGAAATGTTTGATTTGCACATGGTTGGGCATGGGAACAGTCCTTAGATTTGTACATTCTCCATAATTTATAAAGTTTACACATTAGCTTTTAGTGCATGATTATTTGCAGAGTGCTTGGACAATACAAATTCCAGTGGTCTTGTCCAACTGGAACAACTGTAAGGCTGCACCCATAGTTTGCAGCAAAATGTTCTTAACAAAATACTCTTCAGATACATCTTTTTGATCATTTTAGTTTATTGTTTAAAAAAAAATCAATGATGTAGCTACTGTTATTAGTTAGCTTTGGTAATATAAGAACAAAGGGGAAAATATTTAGACAACCTCTCTAGCAACAGAGTACTGAACATTTGCTCTTAGTCAAATTGCCATTAGTAATGTTTTTGCCTTCTTCTTCAGCACAATATAAAACCGTTGCCCTGGACAGATTCCTGCAGTTCTTTCCAGAATATTGAAGAAGAATATAGAGAAAATGGAGTAACATATTCAGCAGTCCGTCAACCAGAATGTGTTCATGCTCTGACTAGATCTTCCATATGCAGCACTTCTCAGACTGGACTGCATGAAGAACTGTTTCAATATACTGTGGCCATTGTTGTCCTCCTCTTCTTAATATTGCTTTCTCTCTATTTCCTTTGATATCTTCTCCAGTTAAGTGTTCAGGAAATGCAGTCAGCCATTTGTATTCAGATTTTCTTAGTAGATATTTTCAGTGTGATTTGCTGGAATGAATTTGTTTTTAAAGCAGACTTAAGTTATGTACAAATATATGGTTGCTCACAATATTTTCTAGTATGTTACAAAAAAACTACCAGATTTTAAACGTTTCAAATGTGTAACCTCCCCAAAACTTCCAAATTTTACTGCTTTGTACACTAGTATGCACTACAAGCCTATAGTGAAGTTTCCCAAGAATTAGAATCATGTGTTACTTTCAGCTTTATTTGGAAACATTTTTAGATAGCTAAATCATCTTTGCTTACCTTATTACAATATGGGCATTCACCAAATGTGACATTAAAACTTTGTCGGCTTGAAGGGAGCCCACGTAACCACTGTAGAGTAATACAAGGTTTTATTATTTGCTGCATTTGAAGATAAGATGATGGCTGTGAAAATGCTGCAAACAGGATAAGCATCTCTGCTGTTCAAGGCTTTAAATCAGGAGTACGCTCTGATTCAACATATGGCATATATACGCACACACAGAGAAAGAAAGAGAGAGGGGTTTGCTGGCTTTACTGAGGAGTTATCTTTTCTGGATGTGAATTTGACTTGCTTAAGAGAACCAATTCTGATAGTTTTGTTATGCTTAGGGTTACATTTATTTTAAAAAATCTTAAGATTCATCTAAAAGTAGATTTTTCAATAATTACTAATTAGTTAGGGAAAAGATTGAGCACAGGACAGAGATAAAATTAATAGCAAACAATGATGCATAACAGTGTCTGAGCAATAATATTCTACATCAGTGTATTGTTAATTTTTTTTTGTAAAAACCCACTTAGTTCTCTATTAACCACTTGAATTCCCCTTAGTTTTAAATTAGTACAGTTACTGTATAGAGTTAAAATCCTAGAACAAATACAATATTGAATGCTTCTGATAACCATACCTCATATAAACAAACTTGATGGAAAGGTTGGCCACAATGAGAGTTATCACAAACTTGGTCTGGAGTAGCCCCATCAAGACGGTAAGCATAGCAAATACCACAATCCATAGAGAAGTCCTTACAAATATGAAATAGAACTGTATTACGTGAGGTGGCTGAGCTTGGTACATGCACTGCACTAAGCCAAAGTTCAGCCAGGATTTATTAAAAACACAATTGGCAGAGGTTACACAACACACTTAGACAAAGTACATGATGGCTCAGCAGGATTTCTAAAGTTGATCAATTATGCCTAGTTCTAATACATGTTAGTTTTCTTTTTAAAAAAACATAAAACCCTAAATATTGTACTTTAACATTAATTTTATTTTATATTGTACGCTACAGTTAATAAAATATAGTTTGTTTATGAGACAAACCGGTTACCTATAATTGTGTTTTCAAGTAGCAATCCGTGAATTCATATCCATGAATTACACGTCTGCATGCAGCCAGTTTGCATCCTCTATGGTTTATGGAATTTCTTGATAGGAGTCCTGCCCTGTGCATAGCATTCATAACTAGTCAAGCCTCTGCTGAATCTCTTCCTATCTAAAACTGACAGTGAAATATGAGAGGGACACTGAGATCACCCAGTAGTAAGTGGGGAAGAATAATCAGTTATGTGACTTCAGAGACTGACAGACTGAAGAACTTCTGATTCAGATACACAGCTAGTTGTTCATCATGGCTGCTGTTATTCAGCCATATGGGCAAGTTCTGATACTCATAAAGTGACTGAAGAAAGGACTGCTCTTTCAGTGGTTTCATTCCTCTGAGAACAGAGCTCCAGACCATAGTACTGGAAAAAGTAGAAGGCTTGGTCCAAGGTAGTTGCCCTACATAATTCTGAGTGATTCTGCACAGAATGGTCCGATACGTACCTGTAGGTCATGTAGTATGATCAGAGATCGTGAGTACACTGTTACTTACCTAGCTTGTAACTAAGTTTGATGATTGAAACTATTTACTTGGAAAATGCTAAAGAAAAAGGCCCTGAAAAGCCAAAGACAGTCACTGGTGTCTTTGAATACTGTTTGATGCAAGTAGAAAGTAGATGCTTTTCGCCAGAGGGAATTATGTGATGTTTCAGTTAATACGGAGGAACTGGAAGAAAAGGATGGGTAATATCTTGTTCAAACAGAATACTGTTTGAACTTTAGGGGAACTTTAGGAGAAAAGAACTACCTGGGCAAAGTACTACTTTGTCTATATAGAATAAAAAAGGCAAGTCCTGATGTAAGGCATGAAGTTTTCCCTCTCAGTAAACCCAAATGACCACAATCCCACAACTAAGAATGCTATTTTCTGGACAGGCAGCCAATAAGTCAAAAAGAACAAGAGAAAGGCTTCACCTGCAACCAGTAGGGATATTTGGTAGTCAAGGTAAATAAAGTCCCTCAAAAAGTTTTACAGGCAGATTAGAAAAGAGGAAAGCACTCATCAAATGGAAGGCAGAAGAAAGAACTGACTTCAAATTAGACCTTCATGGAGGAAAAAGCCAACTAATATTGCTTTAGATGTAAGAGAAAAGCCAACATGATGAACTTGACATTAAAAGAGATTGAAACATTCTTAGTTGCATAAGTTCTTGATGGAGGAACCTCTAAGCTGTGAGATACAGGAAAACAAGATTCAGGACCTTAATGGCAGTAACTCAGGACATCTCAGGGACTAGTGATATCTGCTGGACTTTAAGGCTAAGAGACTGTGCTACATGAAATATCTGTTCACTATAAAAACAACCCATTTGGAGGAGAGGTATTTGTCACCAACCTGAGTGTCAGATCACAAAATAGATGGAGAACCTAAAGCAGATAGAAGCAGTGTTGGGGATACCTTCAGCCACCAATAAATCCAAATAGAAGGTCTCAATGTAACCAAATTTGGTCTTGATGATCTTCAGGTGGAGAATGGGGAGAACCCTGTTTCTGATCTTCCCTGAGGATGCAGGGATGGTGTGGAAAATTAGATCTTGGCAGAAATCATGAATTTCTCCCCCAAGTCTTGAACCTGAGAGGACCCAAGAAAGAATGGATAATTCAAACTGGTGAATCCAGGAATGGAGGATCTGCAACAATAGAGGGCAGTGCTGGGTTAATCAAGTGACTTTGCAGCACTGTTGTTAGACCTGAAAGACCAGTATCTTAGCTGATTCCAAAAGGATGCTTCCGAGTTTGGGGGTGTGAACAAAGGAACCATCTGCAATTCTTTACAGGACCTACAACTTTTCCCAGAATCAAGAGGTTGTCCACCACAGTGGCCATGCAATCCTACAAATGGACATGGTTCCTTTAGGAAGCTGCAGCCTAGTATAATGTTTCTTTTCATATTTGCTCCAAACCACTTTTTTAGAATCTAATCTAAACCATGTTGGCTGGGGAATTCTGGGAACTGAAAAGTCCACACATCTTAAAGTTGCCAAGGTTGAGAAACACTGGTCTAGGTTATATCCATCGGGCGGGGGGGGGAGGTTTGCTACCATAATGCTGATACATGTGGAACGGAACGGTCAAGGCTATATGGCAAGGCCAGGAGGCATGTGAAGGGGGTCAATAACCTATATCCTACAATCCATCATGTGAAAGATACACAATTGTTTTAAAATAGAACAAAGTGAAAAGAAAGAATTCTAGAAGAATCAATTATCTCTGAAAGTGAATGTGCTATTACTGTGGTGGCGAAGAATAAAACTAAAAGGATTAAAAGAAGCATGCCTTATTGTGCATGCCACACATGGGACAGTGCTCCTACCAAGAAATTCCATTAAGTTCTAGATTGCTCTGAATGGGCTTTTCTCATATCCCATGTGAGATAATCACAGAGCCACAATGAAGAACTAGTCTTAAACTTAATTGGTTAAAACACACATTAGTGTTTCTAATTAATTGTGTCTTTTAAGTTTAAATGTTTTAATCAGTATTTATAAAACTTGTATATCATAGCCACCATTTTAGATAAGAGAATGCTTTTTTTAAGATGGTAGATATATATGCATCAC